TTGAGGTTGCCTTTGGTTGAGGGGTTGAGTAAATCTCGGACACGCTCGTTGTAAATCTCGAGATAAGAAACTTCGACCGTGCACTTCGTTGTTTTATCCTTCTTCAGCTCATCGATCCTTCTGAACATATCCTGGCAAATCAAGGGAACAATCCCTATTTCCTTCCCATAGCCCATCATAGAATATGACTTTCCTGAACCGGTTTGGCCATAGGCGAAGATACAGTTGTTGTAGCCTTGGAATGCATTGTCGAGAAGGGGCTGTCCCAGATCGTCGAAAAGGTTCGATTGGCCAGCGTAATTGGGGTCGTCCTTATTGAAAGACCAGTACGAACGATCAAATGCAAAGGCTTTTGGTCCTCCATCTTTCACGCCTTTCCCTTCAGGTGCGGTGACCACTGTCTGGTTCCCTTTCATCTCCACGATACATTTTGCACCTCTTTCGATTTCTGGATCCCATTTCAGCACCGCTCTTCATCTATGTAAGCCAGACCCGCTACTTACCTCTGCTATTGAAAGGTCGACATCTCACCACCACCTTGATATTTCCTCCGCCTGCTGGCGGCATGGCTGGCGATTTGTCTAGGGGACCCAAGTCGGTCCCCTCTGGACAAAAGCTTGGTTGTTGAGAATGCGCGGGATTTGGAAGGGGGTCAGAACTATCCCCAAAACGATATATACCGGTAGCTTATAGTTTATTGCAACAGCATGTGGCTCCACGGTGTAGTCGCCGGCCGAAACTTCAGCGCATTGTCTCGTCGGTAGGTATCGCTACGTAAGGGGTTGACCGTCCCTTGAGGCACGGGCTAAGAGGTACGTATCCAGAAATGACGACAGTGTCGGATTTGGTATCGCTATTCCAGGTTTCGACAGGGGATCGCTGTAGGCAAAGCTCGTCTCGCTGGAGCTACCTTCCGGGGAGCTGAGGTGCAAGAATGCTTGCCTGTTCGTTGTCAAGCACGAGTGAATAGAATACCTTGCGAAGGTTGCTTGTCAACAAATTTGGTGGGCGCGGTCGGAGGTCGCGCAGCAAGCTGCTTGGTCCAAGTCCCGTGCTTTGATTGGCAGCTGATGCATGAGCAGGGGATCTGGGGTTGTTAGTAAGAAGTTGGGAGTGGGATTCACGTGGAAGTACTCCGTAGCTCCAATCTTGAATGTTGGAGGCACGTTGACTGCCGAGCATTAACCGCAAGCCAGCGCTCAACCCGTCTTCGTCAGCATTGAACCAGCCGCGAATGCGAATGGGTTTGACGGTGTCAATTCCATGAAACTCGTAGACTTCATGTTCGCCCCAATTCGTTTCGCTTTTGGTTTCGGTCTTTGATGTTGACTTCCGTCTCTACTTTCGCTTCTGCTCCCGTTCCCCGCGCTTCATTTGTGGATCACGTCCATGCACCAGCCATGGCATTAATTGACAAATTCAACGTCTCAACTATGCAGACCTCGAAATTGTCAACTTTTTGTTCAACTCCAACGTTAGTTGTGGCTCTCCAGCTGTTTAGCTCAGCGATATAGGCGAAACCGGACTTGCATGCCTGTGGAAGAAACATGGAACATTTGAGAATCCTGTAGCGCCCTTTGTCAATACGCAATGCCAAAGCCGATTAACACGTTCTTCATCATGAGATTGAGTGTCTTGATTGGCGAACACTACCCTGATAATTGCCAGCAACTACCAGTAAGACCTCTTCGTCTCGCTGCTCCGGAAGTTGGCGCATGAACCGAAATGAAAGACTCACAGAGACATCTCGCTTGCAAACGTAATCCTTGAAATGCCTTCGAACAGTCGAACTCATGTACGAGTACGGAGTCCCTTACATATGCATGTCTCTATATGGCGTCTGCCTGAATAAGAATCCCTCAAATGGCTTGTAACCACCAACTGAATAAGAGAACTCGAGACATATTCAGGATACCATAACGTAATCCTCCAGACGCCGCGACGCTTGACAGAATCCGGGATCAGCCTTCCTATGTCTCCTGATACTTCTTTTCAAATCAAGGCCAAAAGACTGGGGATAGCAATTAGTGTCTGATGCTCGGTCGCCTGCAATATCATCCAGGAATGATGAACTGAAGCTTCGAGAGACTGTGGCGTCAGTAGTAGATCCAACGAATGAAGAGTGAATACATCATTAAGGTTTGAGTGCAAATCGCAACATTACGACTAGGGCAAGGGCTTGAGAATCTCCATTTAGCATTTGGAGGGAAGCAGTTCGCCTTAGAGGAGATCATGAACACAACGGCCTAGTCATGCTAGCACGCTTTGAGAAAGAACAAAATTACCTGGCTTTTGACAGTTTCGAGAAAGAGAATGGGGTTCTGTATCGCTTACAAGATCGGCAACCTGCAGATTTATTGGTCAAGTGGCTTTCCGTGCCGTTGCCCCTAGATCAAGAGATGCACATGGCGCTTACTTCGCCCAATGAGTCTCACGATCGTTTAAAGCTTGGGCTGTGGTAAGCGCAGATCTGGGTTCGCTTGAATAGAGCATGACTGTCGTCGACGTGATCAGCCTTACGGACATCCACCACAACCCCCATCTTAACTTATTCACACACGCATGTGAGGAGTAATAAAGTCTGAGTTCAGCAAGCGTCCTTTGAACTCCCTCCGCGCGGCGTTATTGGCACCAGATGCACCCCGTTCGATATTTGCCACGCTGGCAGGGCGGACGCTGGGCGCCGCTCACCAATGACCAACCACACCTGATTCGCCTCACTTTCAAAGGCTCGCGGCGTATGGCAGGGGTTTGCTGCCATATTGGTTCTGGTTACAAGGAGCGACAAAAAACACATGCAGCAAATCAAATCTGGGTACCCCTTGAAGACCTTCAAATTCGTGTTGGGATATCATGCTGTGGAGCGGTGAGCATAGTCACACGCAAAAGATTAACATACCTTGGGTTCGCATACATTAGCAGGAAAAGTACCCTCTAACCGTCAGGCACATCGTAACCATATCTTGTAACTTAGCAGGCTGTGCCAGATTTGGATAAATACCCTCCCTTGGCCCAGTTCATACCGCTTTATTCTTCCCAGCCTGTCTCGATATTCGTAAATTCCTCAGTAGAATCGGCTGTGCGACCATGTCCTCTTCAATGAACAAATACTGGATCCCGCATCAAGACATTCACAGAAAAGTCATTACTCAAGAACTCCAGTATTATCTAGGACCCCAGGCTACAGTTCGCCCATACACGTTGGAGGTATCTCTTTGTCAAGCTAGCCCAGCGGCTATCCTTTGCTCATGAATTCGAACGTAGGGAGAGGATGGTTTCCTCATCACCACTCCCGGATCCTGCCTGACAGATGTTGGTCACTGCTGGTTTGTAAACGTCCTCAGTCGGTTGACACTTGATAGGAACAAATCGATGATATTTGCCGAAAGTCGAAAGATCTGTGGGATCGACAGGCCGCAGCCAAGGTCCAACAGAATCCCGAGAAGTTGCTGAAACGACCGTTACATCAGCCTGTCATTGTTTCGAGAGGGTCTTCCAGAGACTCTCATCGACGTTACCACGACCGACGCCGGCAGGATGATGATTGAGCCCCAGCATGACTCAGCAGTTAAAACCGTGTTACCTCTCCACCTATCCAGTACCCCGAGGAAAGCCTGACAGATACCTGTGGGGGGTCTTCTGTACATCGAGGGCTGGCAGCTGCAGCCATCACCCCCGACTTTGAGGCCCGTGAAACAACTTGGGATGGAATGTTAGAGTGCGGTGAAGCGAAGGGTTGCAGGCTGCAAATAGCCATGAAGCAGAAGCTGTCCGGTGCCCAATATAGATATGTGGAGGATGAGATACCCAATTGAGTCAAATTAAGCAAGTGTCATGATGGTTGCCATGTCTTTCCACAGATGCGGTGCCATCTGGCATGATTCCAACCCAACAGAACCCATATGAGTGCAAATACTGCCCAAATTTCATTTGTTTTAGGCATGTAGCAGGTCGAGCTGGAGCTGCACGAAAGCATAGGAGTGGAGTCGTCATATTCGGGACCCGGCAGTCTTCGTGTTCCAATCGGATTTTAACTTGTATGCTGCCATGCTTGTGTGATCGTGCGCAAGTTTAGGTAAATGGCGATGAATCAAAGCTGGATCTGATAATCCCACAGTTTGTTGGGTGCATGCGCTACATGCCTTGTGCTAATTCATCTGGCATCGACAAGCTTTTCGTACTTCTGAAGGTCCATGGGACCAGTTGACCAGAGAACTATGGCCTGCACACACACCTGTTTCGACTCTTGGTATGGTTGTTTCTTATCACGAGTCATCTTTTGCTCTGTGATATACCCTATCACGTTGACAAACTCGCCGACACGTGTTTGCTCAGCGGTGAGGGATTCTAGAAGCAGGCTGACATCCACCACAGCAGTGGCATTGCTATCTCTTGGATAAAGATGACTGAGGAAGAGACAGGCCGAAGAGGTTGAGTAAGAAGTGACGCTATCTTGGTTAGCCAACAGTATGTGCCGTGGATGAATATGTGAGCAAGCACACAAAGAGTGGAACAGTGTTCACCGGTCATACCATCCGAGGAATCTGACTTTGTCACCGACAGGTACAGCAGGGAGATTCGACAGCAAGTGAAGCTGAGACGAAACTGGGCCCCGCGACATGCCCGTTGCGCGTGGCTACTGGGGGCCTTGCTAGGGGATTTTGAGGCCCGAAAGATGTGATTATGCTGCAGCTCCAGAAGAAATCCCTCACAATCAGCTCTACTGGTGACATAAAGGATATGGGGTACTTAAGGGATTAATGGAGGTTGAAAATGCAGTTTATCTTTGATGTTGACTTCACGTGAAATGGGATACGGAAAACTATGTGTACAGTGCAAATTTTGTAGGCCTTGGTCATTGCTCTACATAATACGGGTAATACAGTGTAAATTCGCACTATCTCCATGTACCCTATATGGCCAAGTGCTTAGGTAGGTTATTGTGGTGGGGGTTCAACCACATCTCTTCTTCTAGTCACGTATTGGTCGATTCTACCAGAATGTCTATTGAGTCACCTCCGAGGTTCATCTACAAGATTGTCCCGTCGCCGCCTGGTGACCCTTTTCCCAAGGAACATCCTTTATCAGAACTTGACCAGAATGATGGTTTTGTACATCTGAGCACGTCCATTCAAGTGAGCGCTTTTCGTAGACAGTGTTACTGTTCACTAATACAGTTCACAGGTACCCAAGACCGCAGACTTGTTCTTTACTAGATCATCCTCACTCTGGGTCATAAAGCTTGAATTCAAGCAGTTTGCTGATTCCATCAGATGGGAGGGAGGGTTTCCCCACCTGTATGGCAATTTCGGGGCTGACAATGTCGACTCGACTGTGAAATTTGTTCGTCAAGAGAGTCAGACGTGGGATGAAGTGATGGCAAAGTCAGAATGGCTGGATTGAATATATTCTTTGATATTGGGAGAGTGGATTTATAAGGACTGCCCCTCCGCAATCACATATCTAAAGGCCGAGATCCTTCTCGACCATACCCTTACAAATTGGATGGTAAAAGTCCTTGTTCTTCTCGAATGTTTGCAATGCCAGCTGTCTATCCACCTTGTTGAGGGCGCGGAACAAAGGACGCACAAACTTCATTCGACCAACTCGTCCAAGTAGAGTGGCGGCGTCCTGGTAGATGGCAGAATCATGAGCTTTGAGAGCAATTAGATAATATGCAGACAAAATTTCAACATTCTTAGACGATAAGAAATCGTAGGTTTTCCCCATAAGCTGCGCTCGGTCTGCGCTCAGCTCACCGGACTGCTGCACCTCAGCCAAGAAGACAAGTTTCTGGTTGGCAGTGAAGTTCTCAAGATCCTTGGCAGTTGGTGTAAAGTTCTGATAAAAGTCAGCGTAGAAATATCACGCTATGGACGGCGGAACTTACAGCGTCTTTCCACTTGGTCGCGAGGTCGTAGCACTGGTTCGCCAATGTAGTGTCGAACTCAGGCTTAGGGGGTAGACCGGGTGTGTAGAATTTTTCTTCCCAGTTGATCTCGGCGACATTCTTGGAGACTTTTTCATCTCCGAGGTTGTTAAAGAAGTCGAGGAAGGTTTGCTTGAACTCAAAGGAGTCGAGAGACTTGCCAGACCACTTGGTGAAGTAGAAAGGAATGAACTTGTCAAAGTTCTCTCGGCCAACAACACCCTCTAGGTAGTAGAGGAAGTGGAAGCCCTTCTCATACGCAACCGTACTATAGACATCCTCAGGGTCAACACCCTCGTGCTTTATGATAAGTTTGGTGTACTCATGGTCCTTGCCGAAGAGTTCCACAGCATCCTCTGTGATATATGGTCAGCCGAAGTCCCAGTAGCAATATCGCGTTACGCACCAAGAGCTTTCCATCCAATGATGGAAGAGAAATCGAACTCGGCATCACCGTGGATGGCTGCTTGGATACGACGCTCAAGGTACATCGTCCAGCCCTCATTTAGCCAGCTGAACCCCATTAGCATCATCCCTTCAGGCGATTGGTCATCCTGAACTTACAAATGTTCCCAGCTAGCATTGGAAACCAGGTTACCACTCCAGCTATGGCTCAATTCGTGGGCAATGACATCCACGTTTTGACGATCACCACTAATGATAGTAGGTGTAGCAAACGTGTAGATGGGATTCTCCATACCTAGAGTCATATAGGTCAATTTCCTTTCTTGCCTTTTGACTAATAGCAGAACCTACCTCCATATGGGAAGCTTGGGGGTAAGACCAGCACATTGTAAGCTCCCCACTTATAGGGGAAGACGAGTTTCTCTGCCACTTCCATGAACTTTTCCATATCACGCTCCAGCTCCCATTTACATTCTTCCAGCTCATTGGGACCTGTGGCGACAATACTTCGAGGGCCAATAGGCGCAGTCGCAATATCTCCAGAAGCTACGGCAAAGAGATAAGAGGGGATAGGGACCTTTTGCTCAAACTCATAGAGTTTCTCTTCACCAGGCGTGGCACTATGGTCTCCCACGGGAACACCACTCGCAACAACTGGCAGGGAAGAAGTGAGCTTGAAAGTGAAAGTGGATTTCACATCAGGAGTGTCCTGACACGGGAAAATAGAGCGGGCATTGATAGCCTGACATTGAGAGAACATATACGGGTGCTTCTTGTTCGAGGTCTGGGCAGGAGTAAGCCACTGCAGAGCAGTGCATTTGCTCGTCGTCTTGAGGTCAATGGCGAGATCAATCAGTTCACCCTTTGCAACTCCGCCTGGCACATGGATGTGAAGAGGGGCGCCGAGGGGTGCATTATACTCTTTCAGTTCCCACTTGGACTCTGTTGAGTTGATACGGATGGTAGAAATATCCACATATCGAGAGTCAAGAATGATCTCGTTGCTCTCTTTATCGGTCTGTGACTCAAGCTGAAGAACAACCGAACCTTTGAGCGCCTTGTCCTCAAAGTCGATCTTGAAGCTAGCAGTCGTATGGCGAGTTCGCCAAGCGCCATAGTTGGAGAGGGTGCTGGGATCACGATTCGCCGCCATATTGACTGTTGCGAATGTTCGTCTTAGATTGCGATTGTGGGTGATTTTGACTTGATAAGTTCGCAGAATCGCAGGTTTCTTGAGTGACGAGAACCACGACATGAGGGTCTGTCGAATCGCCAATGACACAGCTTTATTCCAGTGGGCTCAGTGAGGTATGACAACAAGGCGTTTCCATTCAGATTCCTCTTCTAGAACATCACGTGAGATGGCCCGCACATAGACCAGCAGCCACCTTCCAAAAGGCGTATCAAACATGAAGATAGTGGCCTTCTCATAGGGACTTTTGTATGTGAACTGCCTTAGGTCCGTTCGCGGCACTAAATTGGAACAAATTGATCCAGCAGTTTCGAGTCAAAGTGATGCCGTGTTTATGTGTCAGGTGACTGTATCTTCAAGTCTAGTCACGTGCAGCATAGCTCTGGTAATGAAATCCATGATCGAAAATGGCCTCCATCGGGAATTGGCATGACATCCAATTGCCCGTAACACGGAGTCAGGCCGGATATGGAGTAGAAGTCACCACGTTCCCGCCAGAAATGTCTCACACGACTGACTATTCAGTCTGGATACTCATTGTAATTTGGAAAGCCTGGCTATCTTCACAAAAGACATTCCCACCATTATCATGTGTTATTATTCGTGGCTCAAGATGCCAACAGATATCTATAACCACCTATAGCCAGCCTGTCTATCCCTAGTAACGGGCCATGGAACTGGGAGGCTTAGGCTCGGTAACAGGCTTGGCACACCTGAACAGGGCTATCATTGAAGTCAGAGGCGAGAAAAAACGTCCGGAAGAGAGAAACTCTGATATCCGTTCTAATTATATCTCAAAGCAAATAGGGCACCAGCCAAATGTGTCGAACACAATAGGTCCGAAGCTCTCACCATTATACACGCCTTATTCTGAAATACATAGTGTTTTAGAGAATAGACACATAAAACGAGCAACTGCTGTGAAGGCAAGGCTCAGATTAGTGTTTTGCATGAGTAGGAGCTATTGATATGGGTTTGCAATTCGAAGTCCCTAAGCTGCAAAACGAACTCGACTTTATTAGGGTCCAATCGGGCTAGACCAGCCGTTGATGGGAGCTAGGTTTTCGAGAATGTTTCTGTCCTAACGGTCAAATTGTCACGATACCGAAGGTAATATTTGCGCAGATATTGTCATCTCCGAGTCATGACAGGTTCTCCGATGCACCGGTATTTTGGTAGGGGCGAAATTGAGGGTCCTTAATGATCCCTTGTCCAACGTTGGCCAAGGATATGAAGGGTACTGAGGCCACCATACGATACTTGGGAAGTGTCTCATCGCTAGAGAGAGAAGCAGGCTCCAACTTTCGTCACAAACAAGGCCTCCGCTCACTTGATCAAAGTTGCCACTTTGCGATAGCGGAATCTTTCCCAGGTCAATGCTGGCCTGGGGACACACCGTATAGGACGTCATGACGGCACTGAAGAAGTCTTTGGAGTCGATACTCCCGGGCAAACTACTTGGCGCTGCTGCAGGAGGCGTCATGGTGAGGGAGCAAATATCACCCCACGAAACCACCAAAGCGCAAGCGAGCCTGGGCCGGGTCTGCGGTGGTAGCGGTGCGAGTTGACGGGTGGGGGATCCCAGCTGTTGATTTAATGCAGGGGACGTGCAGAAGCAGTGGAGGCTTAGATTCTTGCAAGCTATCCTAGGTAGCCCTGTTTAGTAGCTTCTCCCCTGGTCTTAGCATGCGGGTGCTATCGATTCGAGTTAACATGGGCATTGCTACTCAACGTCTTAACCTTGACGAAACCGGCTTTTACATGAAGCGGTCTTAGAAATAGTAAGAGGTAGGGTTGCCACGCTGCCAAGCCTCCGTATGTGTTGAAGACTTGCAAGTGATTGATTGATCAGCGAAGATCTTCGCAACTTCATCCAACGGCGAGGCCTCGTTCTTGTTTGAAACATGCTCTTCATTGTCCGAGCTGAATGATTCCGATAGGTCCATTGTGGCTTTCTGTTCAACATGTTTGTTTGCCTGCAGGTGCACTATCATCACCCTGATATACCCAAAAGATCATAACATAGAGCAGATCTAATGCCTCTTGGTGATCACTCCCAGGTGGATGCATGTATTATCTATAGGGAAATACCCTGATATCGCCTACGAAGTCAATGCCCATTGTAATTATCTGTAGCCGAGATCTTAGGTAGGAGAATGAAACCGACTAGTCGTACACGAGATGATATCTAACTACAATGTGGTCAATGACCCGCGATATCTAAGTTGGCATGTAGGGCTGCACCTAACTTTCACTTCCACGTGTTCTACCCTGGGCATATAAGTGAAGCGCCACAAAGTCACCCAGACGGCTGGATGTCTTAATTGTCCAGCTTTAACGGGTTGGGCAAAGGGATCACTTGGATGTAAAAAGATCCGGACCAACTACTGAAGGCCTATGGACGCCATCTCCCCTGTCATTTGACGCTGTGCTTACCCGATTGTTCAGATATCTGTTCCTGAATGGGATGCCAGATTGAACCTTGTTTCATGTCGAGGGGCTGGGCGAGTCTGGTTTGCCTCATGGCTTGGCTTGAATCACTGACGAACCATATCAGACATGCAGGATCTTGTGTTATTGCGCAGGGATAGCTGAAGGGTAGATGTGACGGGAATACCCAATGCCTCGAAACCAATATTGTTGCTTCAGATAATAACTGTGCCGCCAGGCGGGTGAACAAGAACACTACCGGTTGGCTGATACTTTTTCCCAACAAGGACCAATGTCAGTTTGTCTCATTCACGTCCCGCATTTGCTTTGAGAGCAAGATCTCTCAGTGAGTATAATCATGACACGGGCTTTTGTTATGAACGATGAGTAAGGTAACTGATCTTCGCCCAGTGACAGCTGAAACTGACACTGGAGGTCTGAACACAGACCAATACTGGCTAGGTATTGTTGACTCAAGACACCTATCATTTCTGCTTTACGATCACTCACCTTGATGAAAAATTCACCTGTACGAACATGGGTGGTGCAATTGGAAACACCGGCGTTGAGGATGTGTGCCTAGATCTGAGACCTTCTCAAACCATCGGCAAGGGTGATATGTTCTAATTGACCCTTGGCCGGGTGGATAACCCGGACCGACCGCAAGCACGGGACAGAACAAGGGGCCCATGCTTTCTGGCAGCTCAACATAAGCGAGCTCAGCTATGAGAGTTGTTGAAAAAGGTACAGCGCCGTAGATCAAAGATAGTTCATATGTACCATCATGGTGAGGGGATGGTGCAACAGCTTCACGATGTTGCAGTGCAGTGGACCAGTTCCTCGAGATGGCATATCAAGTCATGGTATAGCTATATGGACGATAGTATTGCCCTTTATAGCGTCGTCCGGATAATACAGTAGCAAAGGGTATATGCATATCGGAAATGATCAATGTCTAGTCACTTGATCAACATCAATGAACCAAGAGAGTAGGAGGTTCGTCATGCATGGTTACAACCTACTGATGAACAAACAACACGCACCGGATACGAAATGAATAGTCGACTAGCCCCAGAAGCGGTTATGTTTCAAGTAGCAACACGAGTTCACAATACACTATAGGTAAGGTTATTTAAATATTCCGGCCAGGGTTGCATGTAGAATTCCAGCAGACAGTGAAAAGAGGAAACGACGCGGGAAAAGCAAAGAACAAAAAAGGACAAGGCACCTTTTAGTTATGTAAGACTGAATGACGTATAATGCAGTTCAGAAACTTTAATAAGGAAACACCGGAAACATATCATATGCAATATGCAGCAGTCCACACTTGTCAGCATGTTTCGAGACCTCTGCCAAAAACCTATGGAAGTAGGTAGTGCCGGGGGATGGGACGAAGGGTCTTCATCTTGGCCGGAAGTCACTGTCGTATTTTCTCTATTCTCAAATACTACAGTCGTTGTCGATCGACTCTCTGTAGATCAAGCGGGAATTCTCTGCTCGCCCTAGTAGTTCTAGTGGACGTTGCATCCGGGTTTTGCGTCTAAGTGATCAACGTTGCCTTTTGTCGGGGATAAAGCCACCATTGGTATCCCTGCAGCCGTTGGAGGGAGAACAAAAGCAAAGAAAGTCGTGCTCTAGCCAAGACAAAAACACTATCATTTCGTCAACTCGTCATATTCATGTGATATCCCTATTATGCATACTACAATTATATGACGGACAAAGGAACCTTGACTATCAAAATCTTAATACGGTGGGGGCAACATGTTCTGCAATGGATACTAAGTTAGTAAAATGATAGCAAGGAGACGGCATGCAGCGGCATGATTGCCACAAGACAACTGGAAAACTCTAAGAGTAGTATTCGGACCCTATCATACAGAGACGCGTTAATGATGGACATCGGATAGTCGACTATCCGCACCGCACGTGAGGGAACATGAATAATGAAGCCTTCAACTCCGATAAGCAACATGATGATATAGTTGCAGTGCAGGTTGAGCTTACTCGTGCAATAGTTGCAATTGGTCCATGCCAGATTGGATTTCGAAACCCTATCCTCCCAGAGACATCTGCTGTAACCATACGGATAGAATATGTCGAGCGAAGCAACCCAACGGCACCGTTAGCCCGTGGGGCGTGCCTCCCGTCCGTTTTGACCTCTCCTTCCAGATTTGATACGTGATGGAAACTGAAACACGCCTTCCACGGGGAGTGTCTCTGTTTGTAAAAAGCCACTCCCCAATTTGGAAGGACTGGTGCATTGGGCTTTCGTCTTTCCCTTGTGACAAGATAAATTCATCGAAAATTTCTCCCTCCTTTTCCTTTCCTCTCGCTTGTCGAGTCTGTTAGTCTTGACCGCATCACCATGATAGACAATCGCACGAGCCACAGTTATTCATCTCCTCGTGGACGATGATTGATGGGAAGTTTCCGTCTTTGCTTTGGGAGCTGTGTGCCAAGACCCTCCGGCTCAACTAGTCACAGTACGTCTAGGGTCTGATCTCTGTCCGTCATGGTGGAGAAGACACCCCTGTCCCGGTTCCGCTAACGTAGTAGCCGAGGTTGGGTCCAGGGGCAGTATGAGACATGGATTGACTAAGGAGTTCTAGGGAGTCCGGGAAGTGATGGAGGGCAACCAAAGAGCAAAACCGCCGAACGAGGCGTCGAGTAAAAACCGTTGGCAGCCACAAAAACAGCTTCAAATTTCTGACAGGCCCTGTTGATCTATTCCTTTTTGCGAACCCACTCCGAGCCCGGTTGACAAAGTTTAGGCCGACCTGTGCCTTGCGGGGAGCATGGACCATCCGTCAAGAACCATGACCTTCGTCTGCTCGTCAACTTCACCTTAGCTCCTGGTCCCGTGTGCCCCAGACCTCTTTGTGCTCCTATCCCATGCTGATTACAACTATTCTGGATGTCTCTAGTCTCTGGGGGCGTGACACCATATCCTTCAGGCGGGGCCATGAGTTCTGACCAGGATTCAGGCCCAGGGCCTGATATCCCATCATGGATTGTCCAGAACAAGGGGTTGATTGAGGCTGCTCTCCGGTAAGTGCATGTCCAACCACAAACGAAGAAAGCTAACCGGAGAGCTCACAGCTTGGCGCAAAAGCAATGTCTGGGATCCCTTCCACAGCTAGAACTGTTATATACCATCTGTCCCAGGAATCCGAAACACTTAAACCGGACCAGTATTGTTGTGCTTCATGCTATAGCTTATTACTCTCATCTCCACGGTAGTGCCATCTCGCCGTGGCAATTAATCTCTAACACCCTCCTACTTCCCATTGTGGCAGCCCGATCTGGTAGCATTGTTTCGACGCAATGGCTCATATTGCCAAGTGCATCGTCGATATCGACACCACCTATATAACCAAGCAGTCTTCGCAGTCGCCCAACGATTCGGTATGTCCTCCCTGTGTTTCACTATCCTCTTATTTAACCCGAGCTTACCTATGCTTTCTTTTCAGAAATTGTCACCATTACCTCCACAGGAGAAACCATTTACTTGGAGAATGCAACAACCTGATCCGTCGAAGAAGTATCAACTTTTTCCAAAGGAGAGGAAATTGCCCGTCCTCAACAGCAGTAAAGCGGTAGACCCAGACAAGACAACCATGGGACCTTCAACTACAGGAAGTGATAAGACAGACAACCAGCAGACAACACTCAATGGCTTGAAGAAGCGGTTGAATCAACACAGCCTGGCTCGACGACGCAAAATTAGTGTGCCTGAGGTTGGACCTATGACAACCGTTCAGGAGCTTTCAATGGACTCTCGTAAGTCACATGCTTGGCAAAGGCTGTTGGATTCTAGACTAATATCATCGTAGCAACAATTCCTGGTCGCCCACCTTTCCACGAGCGCTCCATTAGTGCACCTGGCCATTCGTCCAGAAACTATCATCTTACCGACACCTTTCTTTTTGCGTCGAGCGATGACGAGGGCCCCGACCCTCAGGCTTCGATGAAGGGTGAGACCGAGGCGGACTCCAGAGGTGCAACTCCAACTTCACCAAGACACCTGGCCCCTTTGGTCATCCCTAGACGAGGAGGACAGTCGCCATTACTCCGTCGCCAACAGTCGTTGAACTGCTTCCCTGTAAAGAACGAGCCTCTTCGAAGGGGTCGCACCAGCGAGTCATCTCCCCAAAGTTGCACCTCTTTCACACCCAACTCTTCCATGCCCGATCTTACAACACCAAAGTCTGCATCAACAGGCTCAACTACTCCCATCCCAGTGTCTGCACCACTCATGGAGCCTCAAGCTGAATCTCCTCAGCTTTCTGATGGACGTTATACCCCTCCCGTTGATTCAATTCGGGTAGGGCATCGAAGAGGTGGCTCAGAATCTTCAGTGATGGACAGAGGTCGTCCTAGGAAGAGGCGTGATCAGCGCACCAACAACGGACCGATCATCCAGAGGACAGAATCGAAGAATAGGATTACTTCAGAACAAAAGGCCTTTGAGAACCTCCCAGTTGGTGTGAAGCATACAGAGGCTTTAGAGAAAATCGAAATGCCAGAACTTGTGTTGCTTCAAAAGCAAGCTTACGAACAGGTCGGGCGCTTCGAGGTTCTAAGGGCCGAAGATGTTGAGGCGCTCTCAAAAGAACTCCGCCATTTGGATGAGAAGACCGAGTACCTTCGCCGCACTTACACTGCCCTTCGCTCAGGTCGCAAAAATCTCCACTCCCGCATTTGCCAGTACTTGCGTTCGCCTCGCGTGGCCAAGTTCAGCAACGAGTCTATGCTGAAGCAGGAAGAGGCACTTACCGAGCTGGATGCCTCGATTGACGACTGGGTGAACAAGCTGGAGCAGGCTGAGAACAGACGTACTCGTGTTCGCCAGAAGTTGCTTGAGCACGTTGCTGCAGCTGCTTGTCTCCCTCTTGGCGGACCAAGCATGACACGTGAGCCTGTAGTGAGTGGCCCATCCTCATCTGGCATTGGCAATATCTCAACCCCCCCTCGGAGCCCTTCGAAAGAGACCGCTATCTCACCTCGTACTGCCACTTCACCTTCTCCCCAACGTGTTGTGGCTCAAGTACCCAGCACCATCCTGGAACAGCCTGTGATCGAAGAAGAGGCTACGAAACAAAGCGATGAACGCGTGACCAGCACCGGATCTCTAAATCGCTCTGATGTGGAGAGCATTCGTATCTATGCTGGCGACGATGTTTACGCTCTATTAGCCGATGTTGAGGATGAAATTACCAAAATGGGCAAGCAGCCGGTATATGAGCCTAAGCCCCCAAACAACCTGATTGAAACAAAACGCATTGAACTTCACCGTCAGAGAAGCCACGAGCTACTCAACGGGCTTTCCGGAGAAGCACACGCCATGAAGAAACGGGACTTTTCTGAATGCCGTGCCATTTCTCCTCTCGCATCTCCACCAACCTCATCTGCTACCAAACAAAACGAACAGACGGAAGATGACCTACCTCTACTGACGAATGTTGTCTATCGCCCCTGATGAGTTTCAGTATATCTCTGTTATTTATCACCATAGTCCTGCCAAAACTGTATCGCATTTCAACGATTCACGGCCAAACCATTTACAATCCTTTGATACCCCTACGGCATTTTCTACATTTTTTTGCATATTTGCGCTACGTCTACTCATGACATTTTACGGCTGCAACAGCATATCATGCATTCATTGTTTTATTATGTATCATCATAGGGCGCAAGCTGGAGGCTTCTGTCATTTATCACAGTATTTCCTTTCTTGAACTGAGTTCACTTCTTTTATTGTATCAATGCACTGTTAATTTGCTGCATATTTCACCCTATCATAGTACTACTACTCTTAGTTTCTTCATAATGATATTATCTTGGCATATTTTCTGCCAAGGCGCTTTCAACGTAACTCCCTATCTTCTCCTCTTAAAAGTCAAGACGGAAGAAACTCGCGATGTGATCAAAGAGGCATGTAGTATCGAAGTGATTCTTTGTGGGCTTGTGATACAATGCGAGATGTGGGCATAGACAAGGGTATCATGCAACCTTTGGGGGTTGTCCGTACCAAGATGGCAAGGAGACATGCATGGTACGTACTATGCATACGCCTTTAATGCCAAGCAACTTTAGGTTTTAGAAACTGAGCCTGCAGGATCGTCGGCTATAACAAGATGATATGTGATAGTGTTCAAGGCCGGATGTGACAGACGTAAGGCCAAACAAACCATGCATGCATCCTGCAAAAGCAATCAGTTTCTCGAATCTAACTCATGTTAGAAGCTGGCCGAGAGATCAATTACCAAGGCGTATAACGACCTATAGAACTGATTCTCGAGGCCAAACATGTGCAGTAGATGTTGTATTTGGGTGATGCAGCCCGCGTCTACCGCCAAACACGTCGTTTATGCCTCTATTCCTGTTGTTGTCATCCACTCCCCCTGTATGTAGACCGTTCATCCCAAATCCCTGCTTCCTTGCGGGTCTCCTTTTTCCCTCTCCACGTGCAAACCAAGTGAGTGGTCAATCATCGACAATTATCGTACGATATGGTTTATAACGCCTCCAGTTCATCTGCGATATGCCGAACATCGCCCCCCTTTGAGCACTCAGTGGAGAGAGGACCAGTCGGAAATTAGTGAAGGACCGTCATCGGAAAACGATCTGCACCGCTCGGAGACAAGGGCTATACTTTGTAAAGCTCATAGTGTGGACACTCCCGATATTATGATTATACGGAGGTCGAATTATCCGTGGAGTGATCCTTTTTTGAGTTTTCTTCGTGGATGCTTCAACGACGGTGGAATGGGGACTTGGACCTAAACGCATGGTGCAGTCTCTTGGCGTTCAGGTGCGATGACACTCGGCTTGAGTCAGTTGAACCTGTCTGTAAGTATTCCATATTAATAACGACGGAGACCATCTAGGTCTTTCTTGTCTGCGTATCTATCATTACAAGATGCTCGCCCCTTGTGCAATAACGAAGAGAACCATCAATTCCTTTGCTCCATTCCGTTGCCAGTTGTTGTCCCTTCAAAATTCCTACATCCCACCGTGCACTTCGTGAGATGAGCCAGCCCCGGATGCACCAAACACCGTTCATGTTGTCCCATCACATTATATATTACTCGCACTAAGTCTCTAGTGCGTCACAATTCGAACAACCTGTAAGATCAGGCCAAAGAGAAGCCCTCTTGCCACCTCCTCAATCTGCAGACAGTCAAAGACTCGGCCAAGCGCTTCGCCAGTCGCCGCCTGGCCCATGACACCCATCAGAGCAGCTGGAAGACCACTCTGAATTAGCAGTCGGCGGGCTTTGATGCGGAGCTTCTCCTTCTCCTCGGTTGTAAGCTCAGCCGGCCAGCCCGCGAGCTCGTGCTCTGTTGGCATCATATTTTCCCGTATCTTGCGAAGCTGTTCCGCGATACCTGAATCCGATGTATTGGCATCAATGACGGATTTCTGAATCAGTGACTGCACAGTCAATAGAGACGGGTTACCAGGTCGTAGGAGGAAAGATTTTGCCGCTGCTAAAAGAGTACGTCGAATATTCCACGCCGATGATAGGGTGTACATCTCGTTGATGACAGCGAACAGGAGCTCAACCGCAACACGAGTCTCGGGCTCTGACAAAGGGGTATATTGTTTACCAGGCTTCAAAGACGCCCTCTTGCCGTCAGTCACCGAAGGGGGAGGTGTTGGGATTTGCTGGGAGCCCTTGCGGTCCTGCTGTCCCTTTGCACTCTGAATATCAATGTTGCCTTCAGGCAAGCCATAGTCGTCCGCAATCTGATCGGGAGGGGGCGGAAGTTTTGTAAAGTCGAGGCTAACAGCTGATGGGGACCGCAGCTGAGCAAGACTAGGTGCACGGCTATGCTCCCGACTAGGAAGAGCACTTGCCGACGCTGAAGCAGACTCTTTACATTCCGAACGGCTGGTGCGAATGTCCGCATCCGACTCACTTTGTGACTGATAACTAGGACGACGCTCCATCGGTGGCATTTTCCCTGGCTGCAATGATACAATAGACGAGCGTTGGCTGTCCATGCTATCTCTCGCAGAGCGGACGGGAGATCTTACACCGCTTAGCTGGCTCGGAGGTGTCGAGATCGAAAGCCGGCTAGAGTTAGCCGTTAGATCTACTGACTGGGTAGATTTCCTGCTAAGACCAGAAAATGTACTTCCAAAAACTCCAGTGACACCACCCACGAGACTCTTGCCACCTTCCATAGCACCCTTGGGCCCTGATGTCAGGGCATCCAACATACCCTTACCCATGGTTTCCCATCCAAAGCCTGCTTTGGATTCGCTGTGGGTATGCCCCTTTGACTTTTCGAGGAATCGCTTCATACCTTCGCTTTCGGCCAAGCTCTGGTACCAACAAGCATCTCGAAGGTATCTCTCTAATTCACCGCGCAAAGATTCACGAGTGTGAAGCTTCCAGTCAGGCAGGTCTTTATGCAACTCGGTGAAAGCAGTTGCACCAGAAATGTTGGCAATCCGTCTAAGGATCTCATGCAAAGTTTCAAAATCTGCATATCTTCGTACGATCATCCATCCAGGATACGCAGTAGCTGACGGCTCAACCTGCACCCAGTAGTCCCAGTTAGGTTTGCTGCGAATTCTGTTTGGCTCGCCAGGGGTATCATCGTGGAGAGTTATTGTGGCATTGTGAAGGGTCAGAGGAGCTTTCTTAGGGGCATCCTCTTCTCCTTCGTCAGCTACTTGTCCTGGTGGTACAATTTGATCGAAGCTAGTGAAGCGCGTTCCGTCGGATCGACGAGGGGACGACTCAGGGCTGGAGGAATCCATTGATGATTGAGGTGTGACGGGAGTTTGGACGATGTCACTCTTTGATGAGAACCCTTCCGTTGATGTCGCCGATGGTAGAGGCATATCATGTTTCGTAGCGGCTGAAAGATCTGGCGCACCAGACAACCTTTTTCCAGCATTGTTTGAATCCTTTGGTGAATCATGAAAAGAAACCACCGACGCTCGTTTTCGTCGTGCTTCTTCTTCGGCAATCATTTCGTTCATGCGTTTCATCTCTTGCATGGCTTCGTCCATCTCTTCCTCCGCCTTGCTCAGCTTCTTCTTGTGGCCAAGGGGTTCCTTGCGCCGAGCCCTTTCCGTCTCCAAAGAACTTCGCCCTGGCTTGGCGATCCCAACGTTTCCGACATTTCCATCCAAATCCGCAAAGACGTTAGTTGCCGCCACGCTCGATTCCGGGGCCCGCTGCATGCCAACATCGATAGCCTGATTTAGGTTTGGTTCGCCAGCTTCTAGCAAGTATACGATCCATCCATTAATCCAATCGGCTTGACTGCAGGTATGTAGGGTCTTTTCAAGGACCGAGTTCGCGAGGATCTCACGCAAGAAAACCCGGGCCGGGTCGCAGTTGTACGCGTTTCGGTCCAGGAAACCAAGAAGGTCCTCGGCCACCATTTTGAATTTTGACGCTTGCTGACGTTGATTCAAGAGATTGGCCAAATGACAGTCGGGGTTGGACGCCAGGTAATTGTAAACGGCGTCGGCAGCAGTCATACTACTATCTGGGGGAAGTTCGGAGAAAGCGGATGCGAGCTCAGACATGAACACGATGATAATGGAGGACGAGTTGGTGAGGAGATCGAGAAAGGCATCCGCAGGTCGCTTTCGGTTCAGGTGGCTAGAAACGGAGAGAAGGTAAGATGTGAGCGTCTTGCGACACGCCAAAGGAAATGAGTGGTCAGTCGGAACAATCGGACTGTACCACCACTTAACATAGTCCCTGACAATAGCATCTACGAGGCCCCCGAGTGCCTCACGGGTCTCTGGCCGGAACTCGTCGAAATTTTTTAGGGCGGGCTCTTCATCGTCGCTGCTGTCTTCGCGCTTCTCTCCTGTCTGGTTGTTTCTGGCCTCTAGAAGCCTATCTATAACGTCGATCCCTCGCTCTCCTCGCACAGCTTTGGCGAGCTCTGGGTTACGCGCTTCCCATGAAATAAATCCGGCGACTCCGCCCAAAGCGCCGATTAGGACGAGACCCAAGCGTCCCATAGTGAAGTATGTGAAAGCAGCGAAACCAACTGCCACGCCGGCGAGTGACTCTGAAGTCGCTGTAGCAAAGAAGTGAATGACCTTTGCAATTGGAGTGCCATCTTCAGTTGCAGTTCTTGTATTAATCGTTTCGGTTCTCGTAGAATTCGTAATAGGGTTGTCAGAGTTCATTGCGTCGTTTGTTGTAGTCGTCTTGTTAGCAAGATCATTTGCATCTGATGGCTTGTCTGTCAACAGTGGCTTGCCGTCGTCTTGTGTGTGTGAAAGTGTAGGCAATGGCGATCCATTGAGTGCAATGGCCTTCGGCTTTGGCGGGTTCGTAAGGGAAGCACCTGGCTGAGGCGCATTCTGGTTGGGGAATGCGGTTGAACTCATGGGGAATGGAAGGCTGTCGAGGGTTGTTTCAGTACACGACCCAGATGTTGTAGCTCTCCTAACGAACGGAGAAGACACTGAAACCCAGGCGAGCTCCCGTACGCATAGCCAGTGGAAATAGAGAGTTAGATGAGAAACGTGAATAGAACTGAACTGAGAGCAAAAGGAGCAAGACAGTAGACTAGATAACAGTAGGGAATGAAATGAAGGAATCGTGCAAGGTTTGGAATTTGTCTGGAACGCTGGGGGTAGTGGATGTGGCCGAATTACAGCAGACGCCATAGCTGGTGTCGCGTGTCTAAGGTGCCAGGTGGGCTTTTTTAGCCTCAAATTGCCGAGCATTGGAATTGCTTCTCTTCAAGTCTTCAGGGGTCATGGCCCCTAAACCCCAGGGTAGGGCTGCGACCAAGTATTGAAGAGAAAGCTTGATAAAATAGGCTGTGAGAGGGTATGCCAATTTCATCCTAACTTTGTTCAAATCTTTCTATCACCCAAGATCGAGGCAACAAGTTCATGCTGGTGCGGTCTGTGTCACAAAATAGTGGGCTTCAACTGCCATCGTGCACTAAAAACGGCAACAAAGTCTAATGCTGCCCCTGATTTATCTCCACTGCAGAGTTACGGCGTCCAATCTGTCTTGTGTGGTGTCTTGTTTCGTTTGATTAACCTTGCCAGGTTTATGTACCCTAGGCCGCCTTGACGTGATCGGTCGATCTTTAATTTACTTGATGTTAGATGGTGAAAACTTGAGTAAATATCTGAGGTGACGAGAGAGGATAATCCTGAAGCCAAGGTCTATACCAAGCTGGAATGCGGCATCCAATGAGTTTTAGCAGTCGAGCCGGAAAGTTTACGATGGCATCCATGATAAGATCCAACACGTACCTTACTAGCTTACTTATAACCTCCACTGAGGTGGTTTGCCGAGTGGGTCCAGTTTTGACATTTCACGTGCATTGGTGTCACATCGCGCGTACCTAGGTAGCTTCCAATCGCGTCTCCCACAGCCTACTAGACCTAGGAGGCCAGTGTAGTTCAAGCTCAACTTTCAAGCCAAAGGTGACAAGACATCTCAAACAACTTTCAACAAAACAGTATTAGGGTGTCGAACTCTTGAAAGGACTTTTGCGATTCTCAAAATGGCCCGTACATCCGCCGCCAAAAAGCGCGCTGCCGATTCTGACAGTGAGCCCGAGACTGTTTCTAAAAGAGTCAAGAGTGGAACATCGGTTGAGTCGGATGGTAAAGATGATGATGGAAATCCATTCTGGGAGGTACGCGAGTTCAAAGCATCTGCCGTTGGGCTCGCGCGCTAACAGGACATGTCCAGCTCTCAGACAAGCGCCGTGTTGGTGTATCAGAGTTCAGCAAGAAAACCTTTGTCAATATTCGCGAGTACTATGATAAGGATGGCAAGACTTTACCTGGCAAGAAGGTATTTCCGAAGGCTTCATTCATATTGGGCATCTCACTGATTAGTTGAATAGGGCATTTCACTTTCCATCGAGCAGTACAATGCTTTCCTTAAGGCTGTTCCACAGATCAATGCTGCTCTTCGCGCCAAAGGTCTCGTCGTTGAGGGTGACGTCGCAGACGAGCCTGATACTGCTCTGATTCCAGCAGCCAAGGCTAAGAAAGAGCGGAAGAAATCACCAAAGGCGAACATTGAGACCACCAGCGAGGAAGAGGACTAGAGCGGCGTGTTGAGCATTTTCTTTCCAGCATTTTTTTCGCCCACGAGCTGGGCTTGTGTTGGCAGTATGCCACGGGGGGCAGGAAAACACCGAACCTTGATATAGGGTGTTAAAATAAACCAAGTAAAGAGTCCCCTAAGCTTAGGCTGAATTTACCTAAAGATTTTTACTCCTAGGGTTAAGGTCCTGAGGTTTCTTTCCCCCCCTAGACTATGTATACCACGCAGGGAGTTTTTGGAGTCGCGGCCATCACGTCCTTGGGGCCCAATCGGTGATTTGTGCATGGGATCACTTTCTGGCTCTATGTCAGAATGATGGATTTGTCTGCAGTAAGAGTCTTGCCGATATGAAACATAGCTTACCCAAAGGGGTGAACAAGCAAAACTTCGATGAATGAGTTGCCAGGAACACGTTATTTATGAGATGGAAATATGTATGTCACACAGGGTTATCGCTCAGCCGTTTGGACTATCGCAATCATATGGGGTGGTGCAGCTTTAGCAACTACTGTACTCCGTACTAGGAATTCGCAGTACTCCAATTCCCAAGTTACACCCCTTGGCCTTGTCATTTTGAGGTCAAGGAGATCTCTGGCATCCTTCCATTGCAGGGAATACTATTGGGAGACCATCCGATGCTGATGAATGGGAGCTGTGCGTTTTTGGAACTTCGACGCAGTCCATGGCAGAATTGTAGCTTAAGATTCAGATCTGGCTGGTGTCTGGAGACAAGAAATCTCATTTGTATACTGTAAGTCTGTAACATATGTAGCATTACGGATACCTTAGTTTCAAATCTCGAAAGGGGCGGATCGACGCGCAAGCCTTATTCCCGACAAGCTAGCTTGGCCCTGATAAGAACTTACAATCCAAAGTTTAAACAGTAAAAACAATCGCCTATCAAAGTTCTCATTCCAATTAACTAAATGGTTGGAGTCTGGAACAGTTCCACGGCTGTCATTAGGAGAACGTATCGGGTCTGGATCTCGAATGGAAAATAGCTGCGCCACGCTCACTCAGCGCTTCAACCAAGTATCATGAAGTTGATCAGCAACTTTCCAACATGGCAATGTCGGCTGCGGCCTGGTAATAGTGATCTAGTAGCCATCCACTGTACATTCGCCTGTATCGCAGCCCTTAACAGAAGTCAAGAACCTAGAGGGACTTGCTGAGTTACTGTTTCATTATTATTTCTCTTGGAGAAAGACACAATGCCATGTTTTTTCAAGAAATGCCTTATTATCAGGAACATTAGGAGTGCTATACAAAGATCAGGGCGGTAACAGAAGTCTTGATGCCAAGCCCCCATAGCACGGGAGATGGATGGGTGGTGATGCTGATGGTTGCCCGGCTTTGGCGCCTCCCAAGCCCCTGGACCCAGCAAAAATTGGACCTACGGCCTCCTATTTCGGGCTTAACATCCAATATTACTTGCTGGTTCTATCCACCTTAACTTCTGACTTGTCCTCTCATCTCCAAGTCTGTGCCTTGTTTCACCCTCTCATCAACTGTACAATTGAATCCCTTGTTTTCTTTTGTTGATTCTTACATTATTATCACTCTGGCCACTCTTTGTTTTACTTGTTCTACGCGAGGTTTTTCTTTTACAGCTCTCTGCTCCTAACAAAGCTACCGGAACTCACGATCGGCTCTTCCGCTCAGTGACGCAGCTCGACAACAAACCGTTATAATCCAATCCTTTCCGTTCAAGCTCTTTTTAACAACCATCAAGCCACAGTTTTATCTCATCTTTCAAATCCAAGTTGTCTCGTGTGCGAGCTGCAGCATCACGCTTTCCTGAAAATATCCAATTTTTGTTTGATGTTTGGGCAATTAAAGTTATAAACATCTTGTTACTTCAAGTACCAGCTTCTGCAATGCGCATTTCATGGCGTCTCGGCTCTGGGTACGTCGAGTCAGTGGATGACTATATCGGCGTCTTGGTGCCACTGGAGGAAGCTCATCTTTACAGCCAAGCGGCTAAAGCGAAGGGCGCCGGTCATGGGGAAACGCGGGAGGAGGGTGAGATGGATGATTTGGAGATGAAAGAAGAACGCGAGGGCATGCTGGGAGGTGATGCTGCTGAGTATACGGTAGATGGTCTACGCAAAGAAATGAGAGAAGGGCGACGAGGTCAATGGACGACATATGAGAGTGAGTGCTACATTTAAGGCTGCTGCATTATGAGCTAACGAGGTTTCAGTCAAATCAAAGCTCATGAATAAGGCAATTGGAGATATCGGTATGGGCAGTTATAACTGGCAGTTATTCGTTCTCTGTGGATGTGGATGGTTTGCCGACAACCTTTGGATGCAGGGAGTGTCACTCTGTCTGCCATCCCTATCAGGAGAATTCGGTGTCGATGAAAAGACAGTTCGATACACAACCAGCGCCCTGTTCGTCGGTCTATCGATTGGGAGTTTTTTCTGGGGAATCGGGTCCGATTTCCTCGGTCGTCGCATTGCCTTCAACACTACCTTGCTTATTACCAGTGTCTTTGGCATCATGTCCGCGTATGCCCAAAGCTGGGGCAGCGTTTGCTTCTTCTTCAGTGCCCTTGGTTTCGGCGTCGGCGGCAATCTTCCTGTTGATGGTGCTCTCTTCCTGGAATTTCTCCCTGATGCTTCCAGCGCTTTGCTCACTCTGCTGTCCGTCTGGTGGCCCTTTGGACAACTTATCTCATCTCTGATTGCATGGTACTTTATCGGCAACTGGCCAGTTGAGCAGGGTTGGCGATACTTCATTGTCACCATCGGCATTGTTACTTTCGCCATGTTTGTTGTCCGATTCTTCGTCTTTCATCTCTTCGAGTCACCCAAGTTTCTTCTCAACAAGGGTCGCCAACATGAGGCAGTGGCTGTCATTCATGGTCTGGCATACCGTAATGGTACCAAGACTTGGCTTAGTTCGGAGCTTCTCGACTTGGTTGCTTGTGAGGATGGCGAGGATCTGGCCCATGTCGCAGAGAAGAAGATTCCTGCTCCATCGACTATGGGTTTCCTCCGGGAAAAGCTCCAGTCATTCTCCGGAGAGCGTCTGCGACCTCTATTCCAGAATAAGACCCTCGGCATGGCAACTTCTTTAATCTGGTTTTGTTGGGCTACGATTGGCATGGGATATCCCCTTTTCAATGCCTTCCTTCCTCAATACTTTGCTCGTGCACATAACGAAGCATCGGATAACATGCAGTCCGAAACAGACACCATCTCATCAGACACGTACCGCAACTACGCCATCGCCTCTGTCATGGGCGTCCCTGGTTCTCTTCTCGCTGCATACCTCGTTGATCACCCGTCCCCCTTCCTCGGTCGTCGAGGAACGCTTGCTAGTTCCACCCTCCTCTCCGCGGTGTTCCTTTTCCTCTTTGTCTTCTACGGCACTACATCAACTGCCCAACTACTAATGTCTTGTGTTGAGGCTTTCGCCCAAAATATCATGTACGGTGTTCTGTATGCCTTCACGCCTGAGATATTCCCTGCTCCTGTTCGAGGCGCTGGTACCGGCGTGGCCAGCTTCCTGAACCGTATCACTGGCCTTATGGCACCCATCATTGCCGCTACTGTTCCCGGCGATGGTGCTACTACACCTATTATCATGTCTGCAGTCCTTATTTTATCGGCTTTTGTTGGCATTTGTCTCATTCCCATCGAGACAAGAGGAGCTTCACGACTTTGAATCCTCAACTTTCAATCAAGTGCGGTCCCGTAAGCATAATAGCTACCGCATAACCTTTGTTACAACACACGCATACTAACGACCTGGAGTCAAAGAGTGATCTTGGGTATAACTTGCATTTCTGATGTCATTTACAACGGGGTTTGGCAGTGCTTTATATTTCTTGCTATTCATAAAGTTGTCTGCCTAGAGCACAGATTAACTAGTGGTTGATACTTAAAAAACTACAATAGATATTGATAAAGTTTGTCTATCTGTTACCTTTTGCACCTGCCGGTGCATCAACTCTCCTCTTCCTCAGTGACGTTCCCATGGCATCTCTAACCATAGGGTCAGCTCTGATCGTGTTCTGTACAAGCCACTCCCTCATCTTGCCCTGTAGATTGGACGTTGCATCATTGTCGCCCTTAAAAGGAGCCATTTCCATATCCAATAGTCGTACAGCATCTCCGTCAAGTTGTTTTGTCAGCATTTCAAGGCGATGTAGGCTGTGTCTCATAGCCTTTTCGTCGTCCTCCTCGGATTTTTCTGGCCCCGAGATCATGAATGCAATGAGAGGCCCTATCTGGTTCAGAGCAATGTAGAAAGTAATTGTGAGTCTCCGGGCGAGAGAGATGATCTGGAAAGGTAGATATGGTGGCGATGATGTAAATCGGAGGAGGACGGCGTTGATGGCATTGACAAAAGGTGGGAAGTCGGGACGTGTTACGGCATGGAGCTCGAATACGCAAAGGGCGATCAGAACTAGCCACCGGTAGTATTTACCAAACTCCATGTAGCCAAATAAGCCTAGAACGTAAATTGTTGCGGCAGCCACAACGTAGTGAGGCAGGATGCCGGAGACAACACCACGAGTAACATAATCTCTGATAGTAACGCATTTCTGCCACCGCGCAATCTCGGGTCCGAAGCGTTCATATGCAAATCTTTTGGCGGTATCTTGTAGCGTATCACTAGCAACCTTTAGGTGCATGAAAAAGACAGCAGAATCGCCAGCGTCCTTGCCTGCTTTGTCTGGGTGGTGCATGGCAGCCAAGCGGCGGAAGCGCGTCTTGATCTCGCGATCGGCAGCATCGAGTGACACTCCGAGATCTGCATAGTATGAGGATATACGGCGCTGTTCATAGTCCGCTTCGAAGATTGTGTAGCAGAGGTAGGCAGCGACAACGAGGATATGTATGGTGCGTCGATGCGAGTTATAGCGGGCAGAGCCAGGGGCAGGCTTGGGATCGCCGGCGCGAATGGTAAAGCCATAATAGATGGACTGGAGCCATCCTGTTGCAAGCTATGAAGCGGTTAGCAGGTCAAGCAAGTTCCCGTGAACGAATCTCATACATTTGGGAGAAAGGCCCAACCTAGCATAGACAAATAGCCAGACATGGTGGGTAGCGGATCATTGGTAGAGTTTTATTGAGTTTCGGAATTATGTGTGAATGTGTTAAAAGAGCAAGGAAATTTCTGGCATCAATCAGGTTGAGAACACCTGTATACTCAGGTTGGTATTTGATGTGGCCAGATTGTACCGTAGTAAGGAAGTTGCAAAGGCTCGTGCTGGCAATTGTTAGTTGGTGTTTCGAGCTCCAGTGCGTCAGAGTGGGTCTAGTTAGAGTCTTACAAGCCGAAGCCGTTTCTTTGTCACTGCGTCCATTGACTCTTCAACTTCAATTACCGGGCTATTCAAGCAAGCACTTTCGCTGACATAGTCCGGACGAGTATAACAAATCTTGAATGTCTTTGTCATATGCTTACCTATACACATTAACTGCTATAAACAGTTGAGAGCCTATGGCTTGGACGTTGTTCCCCATTTCAGTGTCTAAACGCAGTCATCTATACTGAGTCGTGAGTAAACATCAAATTATCACTTCCAAGGGAAGGCAAGAAAACTTGAGACCTTTATCTTAAGCGACGAGAAAGCTTACAATCCAGTCAGGTAAGTTTAGGGGTTTCTTTACTGAGTTTATTTTGGCATCCTCTTCAGCTTCTAAAGTCTCATGCTTTCTTAGTCCCTGAGGGACTTCCTACCCTTCATATCCCAAAATACTATTGCCACCTGATCATCTTCTCTTTGCATTGATCTCCAAAGGAACGATGTGGCGGATGAGAGGTTGCTACTGGGGTTCTGAGCCAACCATCTCATCGTTGCATTCTACCAGCCCTTACCACGAGTGGATGCGTAAAGAAGGCGCTGAAAACAGATATTAAGATCGTCGAACTATTGATCGCATTATCCGACTTGTGGTAGGATCACTCGATATTATTTGTGGCTGCGAAGGCTTGAAGCAACATGCTGGCAGCCAGTATGAGTGTGTTAATTTAAAGTTGAAGATGTTGTCATATATATAGTCCCAAGCTTCCTCTGGAGGGGCTCTGCTTTGACTCGCAGTCTCCCCAGACACTACCTTTCTGTTTCTTTGCCATGCGAGTTTCATTCGTATCAGCGTTTGCTACGGCAGCTTTCGCGGCATGCAATGGTCATGATGAACTTTGCGGGCGAAAATATTCGGATATCACTTTCATTGGGACGCATAACAGCGCTTTTGTTGGAGAGCTTCCCTTCAACAACCAATACATATCGGTCTCAGAACAACTCAATTTAGGCGTACGATTCTTACAGGCTCAGACACAAGACAATAATGGCGATATACAGATGTGCCACACTCACTGCTGGCAACTAAACGCCGGACCCTTGCATAACTATCTAGCAGAGATATCAGGATGGATCGGAAAGAACCCGTATGAGGTTGTGACGATACTACTGACGAATGTTGACGCCCTACCGATTGAAAAGTTCGATGAAGCTTTCAGCAGTGCAGGGCTAAAAGACCTTGTATTTCGTCCCAAGAAGAGGCTTTCTCGAGACGAGTGGCCAACTCTGCAAGAGCTACTTGACGATGGAACTCGGGTTATTGTATTTATGGGTATGGATGCCTTGCTCTGTTTGTTCGTTCCTTTAGCTTACTGACTGTTATAGACTACAACATGGATGAGAGCAAGGTTGACTACATACTTGATGAGTTCGACTATTTCTGGGAGACTCCATTCGGTGAAACTGATCCCTCGTTTCCAACCTGCAAGGTTGACCGGCCGAAGAAGGGGGATCCAACCGTACTCATGGGGATCATGAACCATATGTTGAATCACGACCTCCTGGGCGTTGTCATGCCAGATCAGATCCATACAGAGAAGACGAATTCGGAGTATTCTATCCAAAAACAGGTAGACCTTTGCGAAAGCAGCTGGGGAAGGCGACCGAATGTCGTTCTTGTAAGTGGTGAATTAACTTTATAAAAGGATTTATCTGACTGAGTTTCACAGTTGGATTGGGTTAACGTTGGAGAGGCAATGGACGCCCAGATATCTCTGAATGGTTTACGAGGATCGCACAGTTGAAATCTCGCAAACCAAGGGCGTACTAAGAGTTATGCACACAGGCATCCTCCTGTATATCCACCGAATTATTCAGATCAGGATGACCTGCATTCACGCACTGCGATGCAAAAACAGTCACAGTTGGACGAGCTACTCGACTATCAGCGTAATTCGCTTCGTGGTAAACTGTGCATTGCCATTCCAGCAGTACGGTCCTTCAGTACTGATAAACCCCATCTGCCTATTCCTATAATTTCAGTTCGAATCCCCAAAAGTTTCCGTCCCCAGATCGTGCATGTACTTTTTGCGTATATATCCTGAAATAATTCCGTTCGGCTGAGGCCATCATATCGTGGTTGTTTTGACATGGTGTTATTATGTTGTTGATCTAGAGTGCAAGGCGGTATGTAAAGACGAGCTGTTGATTGGTAGATTAAAAGTACGAATAGCGGGAGGACTCAGGGATCATGTACCTGGCTAGCGCAGTCATCCCCTGAGCAAACTCTATTCCATTCGTTGGACCAATAGCGTTATTAGATACCCAACGGCCAGATGCCTCATTTTGTTTACTTGGCCCGCAAAAACAAAGAAAGATGTGATGGGAACCCTAGAATACGAGTTTGGAGGTTCTTTCACTTGCCTACGTGCTAAAATAGGCATAATCTGAGGAAAAGCTACTCTGTACGCGATTCGTGATAATGTATTGCTCAGGACTAAGACAAGACATGCCAGAGCCCTCGTCAAAGTCTCAAAGAGCCCCTTTTCATAGACGGAATGCCGAATCTGAATCACTTGGACTTTTGCTTGTGACACCTGTAGTAGGTAGATGAGTATCTTGGCCATATATCGACTACTCTGTACAGCCTAAGTGGACAAAATGGAATCTTAACTTTCCTGATTGAGCCTGCAATTTCACATCCACTCTTCATCTATCTATTGGCAACCCTACAGACATAAACATCACGCTTCCATCATTTGCCGTCCCCTCTACAAATCTACCTACTGTACACCTCATCTTAGTGGCGCGCCTCCTTTTCCGGCTTTGTCTCCCTGATCTTCCTGCCAGCCTTAGCAAATGCTCAATTAAGCATCCAATTTGTGATTTCTTCTCGTATCTCTAACCTTCTTCCTCCCTCTTCGCCTTCTTTTGTTTTCTCTTCTCCATCTTCTTACAGTATATCCCCCCACATCCAGACCCATACAATGTTGCTTCGCAAGCTCGGGCATGCCCTGGCTGCGACAGCAGGTAAGTTTGCCCTCTTTTCTGGAAGACGAAATCTTTTCTCTCTTTTTTTTTTTAATTATACTGCTGCTGACACGCGTTCTTCGACAGCCCTCTTTCCAGTCGCTTTTGCCAAAGAAAAAGATGAAGGTGGTCAATCCACCTTCGTTTCCCCAGACGGAGACGTAGCGTTTGCGATTGACATTGGCGAGAACGCGAACACCGAAGTCTACTTCAGTCTCCGCGTTAAGAAGAATCGATCCTGGGGTGCCGTTGGTCTTGGAAGCGAGGATATGCCCGGAGCCCTATTCCTCATGGTATACAAGAGCCGGACCACCAACAATGTTACATTCTCCCCGCGACTCGCCTACGGCCATTACGAGCCTTATTATTGGGACGAGATGGATTACGAAGTTCTTAATACCACAGGAATTATCGACGATCACATGGTGGTCACTATTCGCTGCAAGAGTGGATGTCGCAGTTGGCCATCACACGGTGGACAGAAGGGATACCTCGATGTTTACGATCACAATAGCAAGGCCGTCTTCGCTTTTGGGCCAAAAGAGGACTACTACAGTGACGATACGGACGCACCTTTGAAATATCATGCAGGATATGGCAGTTTCTCCCTCGACATCAAACGAACTCACGGGAAGTCCGAGCTGCCATCTCTTAGCGATTCAACAAAAGATGTTGGATCCGAGCTTATCTACGCGACGAAGGCCAAGCCAAACTGGGCATCACCTCTTCACGGAGTTTTCATGGTTTTATCAATTATATTCCTCATGCCAATTGGCGTTGTTCTGCTGAGGTCTGGAGGCTGGGTCAAGTGGCATGCTCTGAACCAGTCCATTGCGACTCTGGGTGTCTTTGCAGGTTTCGGTATTGGTGTTGCGAACAGTTTCTATTACCAAAGAGTAAGTCCATACCGGCTATTTTGGGCCTGTCACTTACAAATGTTGTAGTCTCGAAGTTTTGATGATCCTCACCAAATTATTGGATTCGTCGTCACTGGCTTATTGCTTGGGCAGTTTGGACTAGGAGTAATGCACCATACTCAGTACAGGAGAACACAGGCCCCGACCAAGTACGGCAAGTTTCATCTTTGGGTTGGCCGTATTATTCTGTTCCTAGGCACTTTGAACGCATTCCTGTAAGTTGTTACATGTAAACATCTGTTGCTCATCACTAACCATCATCAGCGGCTTCACCTTTGCTCTGAACCGAAAATTCGGCATGCTCCTCGCTCTTCTCATCATCTTCATCTGCATAAGCAGCCTCATCTTGATCTATGGTCGTCGATACATGGACAAGCGCCGTCTTGGACCCCGTGGCCCTGGTCTCGCAGGCCCTCAGCAATACAGCGCACCGCCATGGCGGGAGCCTCCTCCCCAACACATGGGTTATCCATCCGATCCTCCTCCAGGCTATCAACCGCCATCGAACCAGGCCGGGCTTGGCCAAATGTCACCTGCATTGCGATCGCCATCACCATGGCAATCAAATGGCAAAGATGACGAGGCGGATTTGAACCTGGGACGTGAGCAGCGACCGAGGGAGTTCTGATCAATACTTTGACTTTGGGTACTGAAGTTGGCGTTTATGTTAGCTTTCATGCAATAAGACGAATAACATGAGTGATCGAAACTTTGGTCAAATGGAGTGAAACTGTGACTCGTTATCTGACTATGTCAACTTGGCCTGAAAGTGGGAAATAGCACACTGTTGGCTGCAAGGTCAAGTGGCATGGAATAACAACGGACTTGCCACCCTAGTCGAGGAA